CAGCAAGCGCTAAGCAACTATGGTGGCTAACTTACGAGTACAAGAGTAAGAAGAGAAACTACGCAACAGTCGTGAAACTATAAGTGATCCTGAACAACTTACGTTCATACATAACCCAACTGTGTTCACTTCCCGGACTCCGCCGAAAAGAGACCATCACGGTTACACATGCGGTTGATGCATTTTAATTAAGTCAAGTGTCAAGTTCTCTACAACCGGATATTAACAAATTCCCATCTGCCACATAACCGCGAGCACGACACTCGAAAGTTTATACCCTGCAGGGGTGTCCCAACTTAGCCCATCACAAGCTCTCACGATCAACGAAGGATATTTCTTCTCCCGAAACAAACCGATCAGGCTCGGAATCCCGGTTACAAGACATTTCGACAATGGTAAAACAAGACTAGCAAGACCGCCCGAATGTGCCGACAAATCCCGATAGGAGCTGCACATATCTCGTTCTCAAGGCACACCGGATAGGTCAAGCTATGAGTAAAACCAACCCTCAAGTTTCCCCGAGGTGGCCCCACAGGCTGCCGGTTCGGACCAACACTCAGAGGAGCACTGGCCCGGGGGGTTAAATAAAGATGACCCTCGGGTTTGCAACCCATAGGAAAGTTATAGGTTGTTAGGCAAATGTAAAACCAAGGTTGGGCCTTGCTTGAGGAGTTTTATTCAAAGCGAACTGTCAAGGGGGGTCCCATAATCCCAACCGCGTAAGGAACACAAAATCAAGGAACATAACACCGGTATGACAGAAACTAAGGCGGCAAGAGTGGAACAAAACACCAGCCATAAGGCTGAGCCTTCCACCCTTTACCAAGTATATAGGTGCATTAATATTAATAAGAGATATTGTGATATCCCAACATAATCATGTTCCAACATGGACCAATCTTCAACTTCACCTGCAACTAACAACGCTATAAGAGGAGCTGATCAAAAGCGATAACATAACCAAACAACGGTTTGCTAGGAAGGTGGGTTAGAGGCTTGACATGGCAATATGGGAGGCATGATAAGCAAGTGGTAGGTAGCGCGACATAGCGATAGAACGGACAACTAGCCAGCAAAGATAGAAGTGATATCGAGGGTAATGGTTATCTTGCCTGAGATCACGCAAGGAAAAAGAACTAGTCCATGAAGAAGACAAACGAACGTAGTCGAACGAATCATCACAACTCTAGAACCAAACCGAAGCTAACGAGAGAAGCAAACCGGAAAGAAGGAAACAACATGGTAAACACACAAGCATAAACATGGCATGATGCACAAACAAGTATGATGCATGTCCGGTTTAAAAGCATGACAAAGTGCAACAAACAATACTACAAGTTAAGTGGAGCTCAATATGCAACAAGTTGCATATTGACGAAACACCACATTCAAGTATTTAGTTCACTCGCGTTTAGATACACATCAATATTAAATGTTGGTTAACATGGCAAGAGGTGAAGCATAATAAAATTACCTATCTAGGCAAGTTTAAATGAGGCCGGAACAACAAACAACAATTCCGGAAAATCCCCATATGCATATTTCAAATTTGGTATTGTTTTTCCCTAAACCATATTTTTGAGTTCTTAAACATGAAAAGTAAGTGCAGCATGTTAATCTATGCATTTTCCCACCCCATTTACATATGAAGTTTATTTAATTCGGAGTTACGGTTATTTAGTTATGAAATAAATAATTTTAACATGGCATTTATGCAAAAATAAACAAACAGCAAGCTTAAACATTTTAAACATGGATGAGAGTTGGAAAATATGAAACCAGATGAAATTCTAAGCATTTTACATATATATAATTCATTTTAAACCAATGCACGGTTTATTAGTTATTATATGCATGAACATGGAGGGTTTTTTCTGCAAATATGTAAATCCTGGGGTAATAGCTAAATTTGCAGATCTGGAAAAAAACATGCATGGGGCTGAAACAGGACACACTGGGCTGGGGGCTCTCACCATGGGCCAAGGCCCAGTAGGTGGAGGCGGCCTGCGCGGCTGGGCGGGGAAGCGGCTTGGGAGGCCCACGCGTGCGAGTCAACGGGCGCAGGCGAGGGTTTAAGGTTCCGGCGGCTGGGCGATGGCTCGCTGCTCCTCCCGCAGCGAGACGAAGCAGGTGCGCGGGACTTGGTGAAGCGGAGGCAGCAGCGGCTGATGGAGCTTCTACTCCGGCGACGCGGCGGTCCAGGGAACGGAAGGAGGCGAGGATCCGGGTGCTGGACTGGTCAACGCGGGGCGGGGCACTGTTCTGTCGCTCGAAGCAGAGGCAAGGCCGACGAAGCAGAGGCGGTGCAGCGACTTGCTCCGGGAGGCGAGGAACGGCAGGGAAGCACAGATCCAAGGCTCTCCAGCGCGGATCAGCCGGAAACCACGGCGGCGCGTAGGGCTGGAGCTACAGCAGGTGATCCATGGCGTCTTGGGCAGCGATGTGAAGACACAGGAGACAGAGCAACGTGAGTTGGAGAGAAGGGAGGAGAAAAAGAGATGAAAGAGAAGGGGAAGGTCAGGAATGTCCTGGTGGTGCTGGTTGTCGCCGGCGGGACGGATGAGAGGACGGAGATGTGACGCGGCAGCGGCGAGCTCTCCCGATCCGCTCGGGGATCGAAGCAGGAGGAGGGGGATCGTGCGGGAGCTGTGTGCTGGGGTTGCAGGGGCTCTCAGGGCCGTCCGATCTAAGATCTGGCGGTCCAGATCGAGTGGAAGTGGCTGTGGTGGTTGGCTGGATCTGAAGGGAGGTGGGAGGAGTCTGTGGGATCCCGAGAGGAGAGGATTTGGTCCTAGAAGAATTTAGGGTTTGCCTATATTTGGATTGGTCTTTATATAAAACAAAAGAAGGGGTATTTGGATCATCCGATTAAAATCGGACGGTTGAGATAAAACGCTAGGGAGTCCAAATCAAAAATCGAAGATGTTTTATAGATGTTTGGGGATGATCAGGACCCAACGGTGATAACTGAGCGGGTAGGGTTCGGGGCAGGTTTGGAACACGCGAGGGGGTCAATGAAATGTGTAGAGAGGCTGGACATATAGACGAGAGGGGAAAACAAAGACAACAGGGTCTGACAAAAGGTTACGGAGAAGACAAGAGAGAGAGAGGCCCAGCTAGTCTGAGAGAAAGGTCACTAGAGACAAGGAAGAAGCGGCAACTACGAGCGGATGTAAGTTTTTAAGAAAACATGTGAATGCAATGCTCATGATGCTATGGTGAAATGCAACAAACAAATAAAACACACGGTAACAGCGAAATAACGCTTCTGGAGCGTCGGTCTTGGGGCGTTACATCCGAGCCTGTCGTTTTTGCGCTTTTCTGAAGGGGCCCGAGGCCTGGTGGGATTTTATGCGTTCAGGCTGGGCTTGGGCCCAAAAAACAGGCCCGATGGCCGGGCCGGGCCGGACCCGAGCCTAGGTTTTTTGCCTCGGGTTTGGCTAGGCCCGGCCTGAGGTTTGGCCAGGTATAGCTCTTCCCCATCCTTCTTCTTCTTCTTCGGGAGAAAACATGGCGCACGCAAAACCAGCGCCTCACCGCCCAGAAGCCCGTCGCCGGCACCTAAAAAATCGATCTTTGGATCTCGGGGGTGGTGTATTTTTGGCACAGGCCGTGGGAGGAAATGTGGTAGGAGGAGAGGAAGGCTGGCGACGATGGGGAGGAGTGGAGAGGCCGGGGACGACGGGGAGGGGATTTGGGAGGGAGATGGGTGACGAGGGACTGAGGAAGGGCAGCGAGTGGGTGAGGCGCTGGCTAGGGGGGGGGGGCAATATCGGGAAACTTAAAAAAATCTGTAACGTGAGCAAATTTGTACATGAAACCCTTAAACCGCCTATATTTCGGTACAGAGGGGGTACATCACTAAGAAATTTAATAAATTGATGATACAAACTGTACTTTAGATACTAGAACTTCCATGGGCAGCAAGGCTAACCAACAAAGATTTGTATGAACATATATACATAATGAAACATGCCGCTGCTACCAGCTCACAGTCGCCTCCCCGTCCTCCCATGAATTGCTACTAGCTACCTGCAGCAGCTCGCAGTCGACCGTGGCCCTGTTTGGATCATGGGGTTAGAGCTAGTTTGAGTTAGTTGGGGGCTCAAATAATCCAAAAATATCCAAATAGGGAGGGCTAGAGTGGGTTAGTTGCATCTAACCCAACTATCCCGATGGGGAGGTGCTTATTTAGGTTAGAGTGGGTTAGAAAATAACTCTAACTCTAACTGTGTTAGAGTATCCAAACAGGGCCCGTGTGCCAAATGGACGTGCCATCTCTACTCTCTAGTACTCGTCCACAAATTCGCAGTGAAATGTCCTTGAGCTATTTTAAATAGATATGTGCATGCAGGAGCTATATCGATCATTTGTTCGTTCCATCTCGATCATTTGCTAGCTAGGTTTTGCCCTCCTCGCAAAAGTGGTTGAGAAAGAATGCTGCCTAGCGCTTGCCATTTGATTATATTCGGATCCTTACCATCCTCGTGATATTGTTATTTGTCTACTGCTTCCTGCTTAATAACAAAGGGTTTCGCCCAGATATAATTGCCTCGTAATTAAGGGTATTCACGTTGTATAAGGTTTTAACCTTGTAGGGGCTACCGTACCGGCCGCCGTAGTGTCCTTGTCCAGCATGGAGCAAGCAACAGCCGGCAGTAGGTAGCAGCACGCGGACGCAGCAAGACAAGCAGCAGGAGCTAGCAATGCACGCACGGAACCAGCGGCGGCATCAGAACTAGAACTAGAACCAGTTCATAATGATTCTAATAGGCTTTTATTATAACCGAGAAGAGCATGTTCAAATAAGCCTTAATTTGCTTATACTTATCTTAAACTCACAGTATAACCAACTGATTAAGTATAACCGGCCGGGTGAGAAACTTTTGGACAAGAATGTTTTAGAGTTGCAACAAGTAAATCTATATATCTTGATAATAATAATAGATTGCATTGCAGCGCGCACTAATTAAGAGCCAGCATACGTACGATCCATTGCTCTAGACAACACGGCTCCATTCTATGATTTCACCGTCATCATTGCCTTCCCGCGTTGCTGGTTTCATCATTTCAATCTTAGTAGAAGGCCCTGCTGAATCATCATTGCCTTCCCGCGTTGCTGGTTTCATCATTTCAATCTTAGTAGAAGGCCCTGCTGAATCATCATTGCCTTCCCGCGTTGCTGGTTTCATCATTTCAATCTTAGTAGAAGGCCCTGCTGAATCAACAGTGCTCGTTGATTCTGCTGTGCCATTGCTCTTCTCCAATGCCTTCTTCATCTTAGCCTTCTGAGCCCAAGACAGAACACCCTGCTGGACATGCTTATTAAAGATCTCCTTCTTGTAGAAGCTTCCCATCTTTAATTTGTACACGACAGAGGAGAAGATGTGTCAATAATCACTTTGATGCTACATTTTGAGATAATAAAAGCGCCTTTTATCGAAGAAAAAAGCAACATTTTATGATGTTGAAATATGGTCGCACCTGTGTTACAACTGCATACAGAGGCAGAGTGCAGTAGCTGCAGAGAAGCTGAATAATGACCCTGCAAGTAAGGATATATACAAGGATGCATGAGTTGAGAACAAACTTATGCCCGTTGTTTTCCAATAAATAAAACCGACATGCATGAGTACAAGGATATATTGGGAAAAGAAGTACTACCCAATAACAAGCCTCGGCACAATAAAACCTACATGCCCCATGATGCACGAGTTGAATCCATAAGTGGTCTGCAACAGAAATTTGATAAATGATGTTTCGGTCAGTCATTTTTAGATCTTAACGAAACATAATTAATTGGAAAGATGCCTACCAGTATCCAGAAGAAAAATGCAATCTCGAAGGCGTTCTGGAAGAGGATAAAGTGGATCAGGAATAAGACAATCCTCGGCCGCCCAAACCAGAAGTGGTCATCTGATGGCTTTACAATCAAATCACCCTCGAGAGCGGAGTGCTTCTCAGCGACATCCCGGGCTAACTGAGCTATGACGTGCTCTAATTTAGTCCCAGCAGCCAACAGAAGCTGCAGGGAGAAGAGAGAGTGAGTAAGGAATTAAGTAAGCCCATCTTCCCTACTTGTTACACATTGTTCATTTTGTGCTCCATATTTCTGCAGGTTGCTAAAATCATAAGATTTCTTGGTTTAGCTTCTATTGTAGCCAAAGCATAAGAGGCTCACAGTGAATGTTTACAATGAAAAATTGTTATATAAATTCACTTACAATAAGGGGAAGGAATGCAATCCAAAAGTATGTGTTCCAGCCTGCAGCAGATTAGCAAAATGTAGTGTAAGATAGCTTCAAGAGGCGTAAATCATGAAATGCTGCTGACAAGGTTTAGAAACCATGCATTTTGCACAACAAAAGCGTAACTGTTCAAAAATATAATTCATAATTTGGAATCCTTATATATATGTCATAATTGGTTTTCCCTATTTCAGACAGGAGCGTTTAGTTTTTGAAATTCCGAAACTGGCTTGAACCCAGAATTGCTGCAGTATATACCTAACCCATGTACTGGTTTTCGGATCCAGATTATTGGAAAATAGAGACCTCAAAGATTGCGGATTTTTCCTACACGAGCTCCAGGGACATCTCTATTTCGAAGACATTAAACAATGCACTTCCAAGATGATAACATTGTATATTTACTCTGCATCCCTGAAACTCTGCAGATCTGTAGTGTACTCCGACATGTACGCACACATAATATTTTGGAATTTTTCAACTTGCACATTCAGTCTTTCAATTCAAAGAACTAAGCCATTGGGAGACAAGCAATTATACAGAACTTACGAGTGCTATTCAGAAATGATGAACTACAACTTACCGTTTATATTCAGCAACAGAAATATCACCACGAAAACCCACAAGTACCAGCTAAAAGAAAATAGAAATTGCATGAGTTGAGCTAATAACTTTCATAGAAAACTACTAGGAACAGTATAGATATAAAAGTACAAACATGTGTATACTCTTTGGATTACCTTATGCCAACCACCACCTTAAAATCAGACTCCAAAACCCGCAACATGTATTCATTGAAATCAAATTTCAGGTTCCCAGGGCAGTGGGCCTGCAATCCAGAAATGATCTCATGCTAACATACGAGGAAAGGACACCAGGATAAAACCACGTCAACTTATTACAATCTGTGCTTAATTACCATGATAAAACCAAGACGCATTGTCCTGTAATCAGTTTTACTTACTGATCTGTAGAATTGCTTGAAAAAACAATGCTGCATGAGAAATAGAAAAAGGCTAATTACCTCGCCAATACACACATATTAGCACAAGACAATTAAATATAGAGCTTGCTATGTAAGGCAAAGCTACACTGAAAAGTTGCATATGGCACAGAAAACTTTACTAGTCCACGCAATTTCACAACATAAAAAGAGTTCCGCTTCGGTACAACCCCCTCATAAAACGTATAAAGGGTACTATGGACTTTTGACAATTTGTATCTACTTTTATATGTACGTATACGCTCACTTGGGTCGGCCCATTTGCGGTACATGTGATGACAAATATATCGAAAAAAGGATAGAACGATCTGGGAGTCGAACCCGTGACCACCTAAAACATAAACTATTGTCCACAACCACTGGAGCAACAAGCCTTCGGTGAAAAATGTAAAGCCAGACGCTTTAAGTAACATAAGGGTTAGGAATTTTAAAAAGGTTTTAGGAACACTTTGTGAACCGGTTCATTTTTCCATAGTTTTTTTCCTGTTACATTTCTTCTTTATTTTTCAAAAAATGGTTGCGCTTTCAAAATGCTGTTCGAATTTTCAAAACATTTTTATTTCCAAATTTGGTTCATAAATTAAAAAATATTTGCATTTTCGAAAATTGCAATGTAACTTCAAAAAATATTCGTGTGTTTAAAAAATTGTTCAGAATATCAAAACATGAATAGTTTTTGGAAAAGCACGAACAAAATTGTGAAGACAAACATTTGAACAGGAATACAAATTTAAATTCCAAAAGATTTTTCAGAAATGCAAACAGCACATGATGTCAAAAAAGTGTTGTAAATTTTCCCGAATATTTTTTCAACTTGGGAACAATATTTATTTAAAATAGATTCATTTTTTAATTATGAACAAATTCCAATAGGCGCCCGACCGGAGGATGACGTCGCTTAGTTGGGCAAGGCCTAAGATTTCATTTTCTTTTCTTAAAAAAATTGAAATGCCAAAATAACAGTTTTAAGTAACTACTTTAAATTATGTTTCCTATGCTTTAGGAAAGCATTTACTGTTTTCAGTTCTATAATTTTGTATTTATTAGTTATGTTAAAAACTTAAAATAAGAGTTTTAAGTACATATATAAATTATGATTTAAATTATCCTTTTCCATCGAACCTGGCATGGATGCCTACTCGGACATGCTACGCGGGACATGATGTTTTTTGGACATTCTTGAAATGACCCTAACTTTTGCCAGCAGGTGGCATGCCCATCGTAGGCATCCATCCCCCAATTTTTTTTTCATGGTCTTGTATAACCAATTCAAAGCACCAAGCCAAGTTGCTTGGGTTTTTTGACAAGTTTTGTATTTTTCTTGAAATGACCCCATTTTTTCATGGGCTTGTATGACCAATATTCAAGGCACCATGCAAAATTGTTTGTGTTTTCAATCAGTTTTGCATTTTCTGAAGTTTTTTTTGGTTAAAAAGGATGATAAATGGCCGGACGTGTTACCGAAAATCGTCTGAACTAGGTATGTGCCTACCTTCTTGCAAAAGTGGGGTTCATTTCAAAGATGCCAAAAAAAGACTATGTTCAACGGAGGGTGTTCGCTTAGGCCAGAAGGGTCTTTTTGAAAGCCCGTTGTTTTTCGATATCCGTTAAATGACAAATGTATTCCACCAGCTTCTACAACCAATTTAAGGCACCATGCCAAGTTATTTACATTTTTGAAAAGTTTTGCATTTTCTGGAGTTTTCTCGGTGAAACTAGGCCCATAAATGGTCAGACGCGCCACAACATGTAAATAGTGTCGGAAGTTGTTCGAACGTAGCATGGAAGCCTCATATGCATGTGCCAGGATGTTACAAGAAGCTGGGATCATTTATCCATGGCCTTACAAGTTTAGATGAGTGTATTTGTAATTTATGTCATTTACAATCAACACAAACATTTTTCTTTTGTCCTAGAAATTTCTTGAAATTTATCAACAATTTTGGAATTACAAAGTGTGTATGACAATGTTACAAACTAGAAAACTTTTTCCAAAATTGTTAAGATATTACGAAAATCTGATGGAAATTTCGAACAAAATGGCAAACCACATAATTTAAAAAAATAACAACTTTTCTGAAACACATACATTTATTAAATTTGTGAACAAAACAATTCAAAAACTGAACATTTTATGAAATTTCCGAACCTTTTTTGAAATTAAAAATAATATTTTATGTTATACCAAAATTTTTTTCAAATTTTTGAACAAGTTCACAAAGAATAATAAAGTTCAAAAGTAGAAAAATGAATTAACAAAAAGAGAGGAAAACGGAAAAAATCGAAAATAAAAAATGCTTAGGCCCTAGAAATTGAAAATTGTTTTCAGATAATGTTAGTATAGTTGAAAAATATTCATAAATTTGAGAAAATGTTTGCGTTTTCAAATAAAGCTCACAAATTTGAAAAAGTAGTGGCATTTTGAAAAGAAATGTTCGAAAATTTAAAAATTGTTCGTGTTTTCAAGAAAATATTCATACGTTTGATAATTTATTGTAATTTTGGAAAACATATGTTTGCAGTTTCACAAGAATGTTTACAATTCTGAAAAGAATGTTCTTAAATTTGAAAAATATTCATAAAATCAAATTATTTTTCATAAAAAATCGCACATTTGAAAGAAAAACCCACGTTTCCCTAAGAAGTTCAAATTTTGGAAAATGTTTCATTTTTAAGAAATATTCATGTTTTAAAAAATTTCCAAAAGATTAAAAACACATTACTTTTTGTTGAGCTATAAAAAACGATTTAGCTACAATGCCCCGTGTTGGTCGCTACAGTGTCCATCCAGGTTGTACAGTATCAATTTGTTCTGTGACAGTATTTCTAAGAGAAAAACTCCTATAATATGTCCAGTTAGGTCATAAGAAACTGCGCTGCAATTGTATCAGCAAATCGTGTTTGTTCTGGTTGTATTAGCAAGGTCACCTCCACCTGAGGTCCTCAGTTCGAAGCCTAACAGGCAGAAGATTATTTTTGGATTTTCGAACCTTGCTACAGTACATACTCACTAATGGGCCGGCCCAAGGCGGACTCAGAAATATCTTCACGAGTATTTTCTGGAAAGACCATTCTACCCTTTATTATGAAGGGGTATTAACAGATCTCGTTCGTTGATGTATTTAGGGGGGTTGTACCGAAGAAGAAGTGACATAAAAAAGATATATGAGAAGACCTCATGATTGCTTACCAGCCAACTCAATACTCTAGAATATTTGTCATTACCCTTAAAATTTTCCTTGACAAATTCGGAATTCTGTACAAGGGTCACCTTCTTGGGCCCTGCAGTTTATTGTGAAATTATTATCCTGTTATAAATGTATTGGCGCTAGCTAAACAATCTTGCTTTGGTTCATCAGACACATTTATTGGTTTTCAGTTTACAGGAGGAACAAACAACTGATGTTAACCCACAAGTATATCATTGGCATTGTAATACATATGAACAACAAGAAATGCTCAAATACCGTTTCCTGCAGTATCTTTCTGAATAGCATCCTCCTCCCACTGTTTCCATTGATGCATCTGAGTAAACGAAGACACAAAATCAGCTTATCATAGGACGTGGTATTCCGTGGCTAATGTGCAACACATGTGACTGATAAGTGGGTTACCTTTGCACCTCCTAAAAGTATTGTCAAAGCACTGAATACGACATGTGTAATAGCCAGCACAAATATGAACTCATGCAACTGATGCACAGATTCAAGGGACATCAGCTGAATTTTTCCCTGTTAAAACAAATATTAAAGTTCATAACAGCTGATTATTGTTCAACTCACATGGTGAAAAACTCAACGATTTTAAACTGACGGAGTGGGAATGATAAATGGAACAGATATAAGCAATGCAGTTACTAGAAAGAGGGGATTTCAACATGCTGGATAGACACTTGGAGCAGAGCCATTTGAATGTTATGGTACATAGTTGTGATGTCCCCACTCCTTTCCACGTGCCAGTGTCTAATGTTCCTATTGCAGAGTCAGTGGAAATGTACAGAACAAGATCGCTTCATCACATGCTAAGATTGACAACATGACAACGATCGCAGTCCAAGTAATATTAATTGTACCGAACTAGCTAGCTACAGCTACAGATTAAGGTCATAATTTTTTTTAAGTGTCTGCATATGCTAAGAAATCACAAGTTCACAACCCAATGGTACCTAATTAACTCCAATTGCACTTGTTCACAAGTCAAAAAACACAGTATGCACAAAATCAAACTAATTTGCGCTCCAACATCACCTTCTGCCTGCAGGTCTCGGCTCCCGTTGCATCCTTGCTGAGTAGCCGCCTCCCGATTCTGCCAATGATCTGGGTTGCAACTAAATGCTCCTTTGCGGGCGCCACCTCCTGTCTTTTGCATGGCAGCATATGCATTCTCCAGTCAGGAGGAATGCAGATCTCCTCGATCATCCCTTGACACACCGTCAGCAGCAGGGAGATGAAGCCGAGAAGCATCAGCTCTGCATATCACCGGATCGACGAACAGTAGGTTGATGATAAATGATGATACGCCCAACATGGATGGAAGAAAGGTACAACTCTTATCTATCTATAGGCAACAGGCCAAAATTGAAAAAATGTGAAGAAATCGAGATAAAGTGAGTGAGTAATACGCGCGCGTAGCTAGCTAGCTTTTGAACTATTTTTAGTTTTACGGGGAAACAGTTGAATTACCTTCTTTGACCTTGAGGACGGCCTCGTACAGCGGTTTCTGGTTATTGCGCTTCAACTTCTGTGCTCACATCCGGGCCGGAACAGCATGAACACATGCATGCATGTAGGATGAGTGAATGGGATGAACACGTACGACGTACGTACCAGAAAAAATCAATGGCTCAAGGTAATAGAAGCGAGCAGACAGGAACGGTGTTACCTTGCCAAGGTAGTGCAGGCCGCGTTCCGCGGCCATGGAGATGACCACCATCAGGGCACAGACGATCGCAAGGATCCATGTGGGCGTGAGCTCGAGCGTCTCATCGTCAGGGGCGCCCTCCGCCATGATCTGCGCGCGCCCTCAAGCTCAACGGAAGCGCGTACGAGAGGATGAGCTCGAAGGAGAGAGATGTTGAACAAGGGTGCGGCTGATGAATGCACCTCGTGTAGAGCTGGACTGGCAGTGTAGTAGTACTGCAGCAGAGCAGAGCAATTGCTCTCCGTCAACGTCGTCTCCGATCGATAGGGGGCGGCCGTCGATTGATGGGGGTGTCGGGTGTTGGAGCCGTCAATTGCTTAGCTAGCTCCTAGAGTATATGCAAGGAAGCGCCCAACTGTAGGAGCTGCCGCCAGGCACCAATTAATATCCAATTCCTTCCACAGTTCGCATGTGATGCTGCTGCTGAGTTGATTCGAGTTGTTGAGTTGGGCGATCTGAGTCGTGTCCAAGATCGATGATGCGCATGTGACCGCTGCTACATAAGTACTGATCGATCGTTACATACATAGCTAATGAGAAATGATATTTATACATAGTTGTGGGTGTACCGAGTTACAGCTCGGTCGTACCCCAACCCAACAAAGGCCACTCTATAGTCCTCCATTGGACGTCCAGCTACCCTCTTTACTGGTGGTCATCCAGAAAGATCTCCTCCAAGACGAGCAAGTACAACTGCGGTTTCAGCAATTTGGTCTGCCCTCTTGCGGTAAGAGCGCGCCCTTTCTCTCGATCTATCTAACCTTCCGTCCCTGAACAAATCAATTTTGGCATGGTTCAACTCAAAATGAAGACTTTTCTTGTGACGTAGATGGTTCTGCTTATCAAGGGATGTATATGAGGGTAGAGGTGAAGTCCTGGGCAACATCTAGCGGGATATGGATGCAGGTATTTTCCAGTTGAGGATGGCTTAGGTGTTTGTTTTAGAATATTATAAGATGCAGATAGGCCAATGAAACCGCAACCACAGCAAAGTCTGAACTACCACTGTTAATTCCCCACTAACAAGTTGTCATTGCAAACCTGAAACATACTAGTACCAATTTAGAAGAATGCCAGCTTTGTTGCATGCAGCTCAATAGACAGATACTCATTTGTATGATCATTTGTATGATAGGAGAGTAGTAGGATAGGAGAAAACCATTTGTATGATCATTTAGTTTAATTAACTAAAAATGTTTCAGGCTAGAGCACTACACTAGACTTCATATAGTTTCAGGCTGGTTGGAGTACACTGGTTATAATTAAACAAAAACCTTTTCTTTAATTAATTAAAGGGAAGGTTTCAGTTTAATTAATACTCCTAATTTTACTCCTACTCCTACTAATCCTACTCCTAATCCTAATTTAAAAAAACCTGCATTAAAAGGAGTATTTTGGCACTGCATGAAAATGAGTATTTTGGCACTCAACTACGGAGTACACAAATCTCTACAGCAAGCTACTCCAAGCAGTACTACACCAACTAATGTCCATCTGTCCATCAACAGTTTGGAGTATTGATCTGTCGATGTATGGATCTTGATAAACAATGTCTTAAGAGTTTAAATCTTGAGAAAGGAAACAACTAGGCCATATGAAACATGATAAAGAGTAACCAAGCCACATAGCAAAGTGCTTCTAAAAGCACTTAACTGTATTTATACAAAGCATATCAGTATTCAGAAGAACACAGAGACTACAAATGTAGACTTATGCAAGTTAACAGTGCCTTTCCCGTACTGTACTTCATGTGTTCAATTAACAGAAAAGACTTCCGTTAGTTTAATTAACATAAAAAGGTTTCAGTTAGTTTAATTAACAGAAAAATTCAGATAGTTTAATTAACAGAAAAGGATTTTAGTTAGATTAATGAACAGTGTATGATGAATTTGATTATTCAGACTTAAGTTGCTTCAAGTGATGTCACTAGTTTCAGTTAACTAGAGTACTACAGCAAATGGAGTACCAAATCTGATTCAGTTAAAGTCTCCAGATGGAGTACCTAATCTGATTCAGCAAGTGTTGCTGCAAGTGAACATTTTGAAATAGCTGCTGCACTTGCTACACTAAAACAGCTATTGTATGATAGGAGAGTAGTAGGATAGGAGAAAACCATTTGTATGATCATTTAGTTTAATTAACTAAAAATGTTTCAGGCTGGAGCACTACACTAGACTTCATATAGTTTCAGGCTGGTTGGAGTACACTGGTTATAATTAAACAAAAACCTTTTCTTTAATTAATTAAAGGGAAGGTTTCAGTTTAATTATTACTCCTAATTTTACTCCTACTCCTACTAATCCTACTCCTAATCCTAATTTAAAAAAACCTGCATTAAAAGGAGTATTTTGGCACTGCATGAAAATGAGTATTTTGGCACTCAACTACGGAGTACACAAATCTCTACAGCAAGCTACTCCAAGCAGTACTACACCAACTAATGTCCATCTGTCCATCAACAATTTGGAGTATTGATCTGTCGATGTATGGATCTTGATAAACAATGTCTTAAGAGTTTAAATCTTGAGAAAGGAAACAACTAGGCCATATGAAACATGATAAAGAGTAACCAGGCCACATAGCAAAGTGCTTTTAAAAGCACTTAACTGTATTTATACAAAGCATATCAGTATTCAGAAGAACACAGAGACTACAAATGCAGACTTATGCAAGTTAACAGTGCCTTTCCCGTACTGTACTTAATGTGTTCAATTAACAGAAAAGGTTTCCCTTAGTTTAATTAACATAAAAAGGTTTCAGTTAGTTTAATGAACAGAAAAATTCAGATAGTTTAATTAACAGAAAAGGATTTTAGTTAGATTAATGAACAGTGTATGATGAATTTGATTATTCAGACTTAAGTTGCTTCAAGTGATGTCACTAGTTTCAGTTAACTAGAGTACTACAGCAAATGGAGTACCAAATCTGATTCAGTTAAAGTCTCCAGATGGAGTACCTAATCTGATTCAGCAAGTGTTGCTGCAAGTGAACATTTTGAAATAGCTGCTGCACTTGCTACACTAAAACAACTATTGTATGATAGGAGAGTAGTAGGATAGGAGAAAACCATTTGTATGATCATTTAGTTTAATTAACTAAAAATGTTTCAGGCTGGAGCACTACACTAGACTTCATATAGTTTCAGGCTGGTTGGAGTACACTGGTTATAATTAAACAAAAACCTTTTCTTTAATTAATTAAAGGGAAGGTTTCAGTTTAATTAATACTCCTAATTTTACTCCTACTCCTACTAATCCTAATCCTAATCCTAATTTAAAAAAACCTGCATTAAAAGGAGTATTTTGGCACTGCATGAAAATGAGTATTTTGGCACTCAACTACGGAGTACACAAATCTCTACAGCAAGCTACTCCAAGCAGTACTACACCAACTAATGTCCATCTGTCCATCAACAGTTTGGAGTATTGATCTGTCGATGTATGGATCTTGATAAACAATGTCTTAAGAGTTTAAATCTTGAGAAAGGAAACAACTAGGCCATATGAAACATGATAAAGAGTAACCAGGCCACATAGCAAAGTGCTTTTAAAAGCACTTAACTGTATTTATACAAAACATATCAATATTCAGAAGAACACAGAGACTACAAATGCAGACTTATGCAAGTTAACAGTGCCTTTCCCGTACTGTACTTCATGTGTTCAATTAACAGAAAAGGCTTCCGTTAGTTTGATTAACATAAAAAGGTTTCAGTTAGTTTAATTAACAGAAAAATTCAGATAGTTTAATTAACAGAAAAGGATTTTAGTTAGATTAATGAACAGTGTATGATGAATTTGATTATTCAGACTTAAGTTGCTTCAAGTGATGTCACTAGTTTCAGTTAACTAGAGTACTACAGCAAATGGAGTACCAAATCTGATTCAGTTAAAGTCTCCAGATGGAGTACCTAATCTGATTCAGCAAGTGTTGCTGCAAGTGAACATTTTGAAATAGCTGCTACACTTGCTACACTAAAACAGCTATTGTATGATAGGAGAGTAGTAGGATAGGAGAAAACCATTTGTATGATCATTTAGTTTAATTAACTAAAAATGTTTCAGGCTGGAGCACTACACTAGACTTCATATAGTTTCAGGCTGGTTGGAGTACACTGGTTATAATTAAACAAAAACCTTTTCTTTAATTAATTAAAGGGAAGGTTTCAGTTTAATTAATACTCCTAATTTTACTCCTACTCCTACTAATCCTACTCCTAATCCTAATTTAAAAAAACCTGCATTAAAAGGAGTATTTTGGCACTGCATGAAAATGAGTATTTTGGCACTCAACTACGGAGTACACAAATCTCTACAGCAAGCTACTCCTAGCAGTACTACACCAACTAATGTCCATCTGTCCATCAACAGTTTGGAGTATTGATCTGTCGATGTATGGATCTTGATAAACAATGTCTTAAGAGTTTATATCTTGAGAAAGGAAACAACTACGCCATATGAAACATGATAAAGAGTTACCAGGCCACATAGCAAAGTGCTTTTAAAAGCACTTAACTGTATTTATACAAAGCATATCAGTATTCAGAAGAACACAGAGACTACAAATGCAGACTTATGCAAGTTAACAGTGCCTTTCCCGTACTGTACTTCATGTGTTCAATTAACAGAAAAGGTTTCCCTTAGTTTAATTAACATAAAAAGGTTTCAGTTAGTTTAATGAACAGAAAAATTCAGATAGTTTAATTAACAGAAAAGGATTTTAGTTAGATTAATGAACAGTGTATGATGAATTTGATTATTCAGACTTAAGTTGCTTCAAGTGATGTCACTAGTTTCAGTTAACTAGAGTACTACAACAAATGGAGTACCAAATCTGATTCAGTTAAAGTCTCCAAATGGAGTACCTAATCTGATTCAGCAAGTGTTGCTGCAAGTGAACATTTTGAAATAGCTGCTGCACTTGCTACACTAAAACAGCTATTGTATGATAGGAGAGTAGTAGGATAGGAGAAAATCATTTGTATGATCATTTAGTTTAATTAACTAAAAATGTTTCAGGCTGGAGCACTACACTAGACTTCATATAGTTTCAGGCTGGTTGGAGTACACTGGTTATAATTAAACAAAAACCTTTTCTTTAATTAATTAAAGGGAAGGTTTCAGTTTAATTAATACTCCTAATTTTACTCCTACTCCTACTAATCCTACTCCTAATCCTAATTTAAAAAAACCTGCATTAAAAGGAGTATTTTGGCACTGCATGAAAATGAGTATTTTGGCACTCAACTACGGAGTACACAAATCTCTACAGCAAGCTACTCCAAGCAGTACTACACCAACTAATGTCCATCTGTCCATCAACAGTTTGGAGTATTGATCTGTCGATGTATGGATCTTGATAAACAATGTCTTAAGAGTTTAAATCTTGAGAAAGGAAACAACTAGGCCATATGAAACATGATAAAGAGTAACCAGGCCACATAGCAAAGTGCTTTTAAAAGCACTTAACTGTATTTATACAAAACATATCACTATTCAGAAGAACACAGAGACTACAAATGCAGACTTATGCAAGTTAACAGTGCCTTTCCCGTACTGTACTTCATGTGTTCAATTAACAGAAAAGGCTTCCGTTAGTTTGATTAACATAAAAAGGTTTCAGTTAGTTTAATGAACAGAAAAATTCAGATAGTTTAATTAACAGAAAAGGATTTTAGTTAGATTAATGAACAGTGTATGATGAATTTGATTATTCAGACTTAAGTTGCTTCAAGTGATGTCACTAGTTTCAGTTAACTAGAGTACTACAACAAATGGAGTACCAAATCTGATTCAGTTAAAGTCTCCAAATGGAGTACCTAATCTGATTCAGCAAGTGTTGCTGCAAGTGAACATTTTGAAATAGCTGCTGCACTTGCTACACTAAAACAGCTATTGTATGATAGGAGAGTAGTAGGATAGGAGAAAACCATTTGTATGATCATTTAGTTTAATTAACTAAAAATGTTTCAGGCTGGAGCACTACACTAGACTTCATATAGTTTCAGGCTGGTTGGAGTACACTGGTTATAATTAAACAAAAACCTTTTCTTTAATTAATTAAAGGGAAGGTTTCAGTTTAATTA